ATATTTCATCTGAGAGAGAGTTGAATTTTGGAGATGAGTATGGGAAGAAGCAAAGCAGAAGGGAAAAGGAGTTTAAGAGAAATGGACGAGGAAGAGGAAGAAGATGATGATACTCTTGAAGAAGAAGAGGCTTTTGAGAAGAAGCAGAAAGGCAAAAGTACAACTAGTAGTAGTAGTCATGGAGTTTGTCAGGTCGAGAATTGTTCCGTGGACATGAGCACAGCCAAACGCTACCACAAACGACACAGAGTCTGCGAGGTTCATGCCAAAGCTCCCTTTGTTCGGATCTCCGGTCTTCACCAACGTTTCTGCCAGCAATGCAGCAGGTAATATCATCTCCTGTCTTTCATCTTATGCGACAACAACAGAAAACAAGAAACAGAGAAAGATGAGACTTTAACCTTTTGTTTTAAGGTTCCACGAGCTCGGTGAGTTTGATGAAGCCAAGCGGAGTTGCAGAAGACGCTTAGCTGGTCACAACGAGAGAAGGCGGAAAAGCGCAAATGAAGAATAAAGATGGTGAAAGGTCTAAAATCCCGATTTGAAGGTTAATGAAATAGGCTTTGCTTGCTCTCTTCTGTCAGTCTCTTTAGTTCCTTGTAATCATCATCTGTGTGTCTCTCTGTTTCTCCCTATTGCCTGCAATCAAAGCTATCTGCTAAACCTAAGACATAATTTAATGCATTGAGACTAAGTAAATGCTTGAAGGAATATGTGTAAGACCGTTTAAGCCGAGGAAATGATAATTCAAGCCATGATCTTAGACTAAAATCAGGAATCTGTATATATTTTGCAATCAACAAAGAGGAGACACAGAGCTAAAAAGCATAATCTAGGAGATATTTTTGATTCTTGAAATCTGTAGTTATGTTACAAGAAAGCTCATCAAAATCTGCCACAAACCTAGTGGTTCTGAGATCTGAAAATCGGACTAAAATAAATGAGATTGGAAAACTAATCCTAGTCACGTTTGATTCCCAACATTTTCATTGAGAACTCCCAAGCAACGATTGCTGCTGCATTAGCAGGAAATGCTCTCACAATGGTTGGACCCAAACCCGCATAGCATCCCTTGAATCCAGCCCTCTTGTGAATCTGCAGAGACGATTAAAAGTCAAATATACTATTTCATATATTCTTTGTATTGGTATTTAGATTCACAGAGGCAAGGCAAAATCAAGATGGCTGACCGACCGAGCTCAACACTTTCAAAGGATTTCTCTCCGTAGCTTTGTCGGGAGACGTCTGGATAATGGTTTTTGCTACATCAAAAGGCAAAACAGCTGACCAGCACTGTATCATAGAAACTAACGTAATCTTCATATAAACTCGATAACAACATTTTTCGGGACAGAATTCATGAAATACACTAGAAAAGTTCTTACAGCTATGCCTCCAAGACCACCAGTGAAAACTCCAATCCCCATGTCAACCAAGTAACCATCTTTCAGCTTAGTATCCTCCAATTTCGAGTGGATGTGATACCGTAAGTACTCGTAGACAGTAAAAAAGACAGCATTTCCAACACATTCTCTTAATAATGTAGCCGAACCACCACGAAAAATACCTGTTACCTGAAAGATATCCCCATCAACCTAATGTTCGATTCTAAAGTTAGAATATTTTAGCAACTAGAGTTTGAATATTTTAGCAACTAGAGTTTCTCACCCCATCATTTTTAATGGTCTGAACGGCACAATTAAGAGGACTGCTGTATCTACGGAAGTTAGGAACGAAAGAATCCGTGCCTTGGATCTGCATTCTACACTGAAGAAAACAATGTATGTCCCCAAAACTTCATGAAAACCCATCAAAGATATTAACCGAAAA